TTCATGGTGGATAATGGTTTTAATGTGGTGTTGGACTCTATTAGGTAGGATCTTGTTGAGTGTTTGCATTTACTTTTTGAAGGACTTGGTGTAAGCTTCAACTACATTTACAAATATTTAGGAAATGTGTTGGTGTTTTCTCCAGTGGAGAAAAGTCGGTTTTTTGAGGAAGGTTTTAAAGAAATATATTTTTAGAATTCTAATTTTAAAGTGATTTGGAGTAGATTCTCAGAGCCAAAAAGGACAAGAGAGGGAGATCAGATAATATGAATAGAGAAGAGAAAATGGACAAGGAATGGGCGAATCTGCCTAGAAAAATAAATGAGAAGTTAATTCAGTAGATAGCTTTGGGGGAAAGACATGAAAGAAGATCTTGGGAAAATTTCCATAAAATATAAAATCATGCTTACGTTAAGATACTTAGATACTTAAAATTGTTTATACTATACTATTTTGTTAGTGGAAATTGTTTCTGTCATTTATAAAAACTAATAACTGCAGACTTAAAAAACTAAGAAATGAAGATCCTTATCCATTTGAAAATGTTCCTTTTGAAGAGTTTTAGTTGATTTTGAACCCATTTGTTAAAAATATTTTTACAGTAACGTCTTCCAATTATTCTATGTTTTTTCATTAAAGTATAATTGACACCCAGTGTTACATTAGTTTCAGGTGTACAACATAATGATTCAACAAGTCTGTACCTTCTGCTGTGCTTACACATGTAGCCATCATCTGTCAACATACAATGCCTTTATAATAATAATACCATTGACCATATTTCCTATGCTGTACCTTTTATCCTTATGACTTATTCATTTCATAACTACAATCTATGTTTGCCATTCCCCTTCACCCATTTTGCCCATCTTCCCACCCCACCCCCAATTATTTTATAAGAACAACTAATTACTATCATGAAAAGTGGAAGTTTACTAACCCCATTTCATAAAGTCATTTGAATATTTGGTAGATGAGATTGGAAAATGAATGCCGTGTAAGTGGTTTTGTAAGTGTAGCTAATCTATTTCTTTCATTTCAGTGTATTTATTTTTTATTTTACTTTTTAATTACTGTATCAGAAAATGTCAAACCAAGATTTTCTAAAATAATGCATATTCAATCATATTATGTGCATTGATTATTGGGGAGAAAAATATTTTTGTACAATTACTAAAATCAAAGCTATTTTAAGTATTACATTGTCTTTTTCTCATCTTTTAAAATTTCTTGTGTGACGTGATGAATGTGTTTTAGCATAATATTCAGAATTTGCTTTAGTGATAGAAATGTCTGATAACATTCTGAAATTGCTTTACTAATACATATGTATAATCAGAATTTTGGAGATTACTCTTACAGAGATAGAGACATATAAACAAGAAAAGTTTGGTAAAATATGAAAAGTGCTATCCCAAAGGAATGACTGCTATTACACACAGGGAACAAATCGCTTGGGGGAGTCAGAGGAGACTTTAATAAGGTGTCCTAATGCTGTATCTCATTAGGTATAGATAGGAATTTCTTAGGTGGTTATATCAGACTCCTTTTTTTTTTTTTTTTTTTTTTGACAGAGAGAGAGATCACAAGTAGGCAGAGAGGCAGGCAGGGGGTGGGGGGAAGCAGGTTCCCACTGAGCAGAGAGCCCGATGCAGGGCTTGATATCAGACTCTTTAAAAAAACAAAGAAAAATGTGACATTTCTCAAGTGATTTTATATTGCTGAGGTCTGCTTAATTCAGTGATTCATGTTTCCATCAATAAATGTAAAGAAAGGAAAAAAAATCTATTGCAATAGATGAGTATGAGACTCTAAGTAGATATATAGAACGTTGGCTTGTCTAAATTTACTTCCTCTTAGCTTTATTACTGTCCCATTTTTATCTTTTTTAGGTTCTATAGTCTTCTGCAAGAGAAAAAATATTGCTAAAGATCTCTGTAGTGATGGTTTTCATTCTGGTCAATGTAAGAAAAATGTTAAATATTCATAAAGACATATGATATATGCAAAACAATTTTCTTAAGATGGTCACACTTCTTTCATAGCACTTCCATAGCACTAACCATGATATAATGAGGTACCAAATTAATTTATTCATACTGCTGAGCTCATTGACATAAAGTACATTTGTCATTGCGTTTTTTTTCATTCCCACATTTTCCTGGCACATACTCGTCATTGGTATGGTTGTTTTGTTTTTTTTTTTTAATTTAAATTCACCTACCTAACATATAGTATATTAGTTTAAGAGGTAAAGGTCAGTGATTAATCAGTCTTATATAATACCCAGAGCTCATTATATCACATGCCTTCCTTAATGTCCATCACCCAGTTACCCCACACCCCCTCAGTTTATTTCCTATGATTGAGAGTCTCTTATGGTATGTCTCCCTCTCTGATTTTGTCTTGTTTTATTTTTCCCTCCCTTCCCCTATAATCCTCTGTTTTGTTTCTTAAATTCCACATATGAATGAGATCGTATAATTGTCTTCTTGATTTGACTTATTTCACATAGCATAACACCCAAGAGTTCCATCCATGTCATTGCAAATGGCAAGATTTCATTTTTTTATGGCTGAGTAGTATTCCATTGTATATATATCCCACATCTTCTTTATTCATCTGTCGATGGACATCTGGGCTCTTTGCATAGTTTAGCTGTTGTGGACATTGCTGCTATAAACATTGGGGTTCAGGTACCTCTTCGGATCACTATATTTGTATCTTTGGGGTTAATACCTAATAGTGCAATTGCTGGGTCATAGATAGCTCTATTTTCAACTTTTTGAGGAACCTCCATACTGTTTTAGGCATTGGTATGTTTCTTAAACTGAAAGATTAAAATTGAGACTTCATGGTAATTTATTTAAACCTAATTCACATCAAGTTTACTTTCAAATCTATTTTGAAGATTTTTGTGAAGGATGTATAGACTTACGACTAATAAAATACAATAAAATATAAATTGAAAATAGCCTGAAAAAGAGGAGGATGCAAAGATACTAACTAGGAAAGTAGTTGTATTTATATTGTATCATTTCATTAAAACCACCATAAGACTTAGTGACAGCAATGATTTATTATTTCTCACAAATCTGTGGGTTTGCTGGGCTTACCTGGGTGTATTTTCTTCTGGTTTTACTTGGTGTCATTCATTTGGCTGAAATAATTTGCAACTAAGGCTGGAAAATCTAAGATAGCATCATACAGATGTCTGGGGCCTTGGTGCTATCTGTTTCACTGAGCTTTCTCTCTACATGTTCTCTTCATTCCCTTATTTAGACTGGATTTCCTTTCATGATAATAGAAGTTTACCAAGAGAGTGACAGTGGAAAATGTGAGACATTTTGAGAACGTGGCTTCAGAACTCATACACCATGATTTTTGCCCTCATCAGAGTTACAGTTCTGTCCCAGATATGGAATTGATGAAAACAGACTCCACCTTTTGACAGGAGATATGTGACTGTATTTAACCTACTACAATAGAATATACTTAGTTGTCGAATATAAAATTTGTTTCTGAGCTGCCTGAAAATGAGGGGGAAATAAGACACTAAGGTTATCAAAATAAAGAACAAATACCAGAAAATTTGATTTGTAAAATCCCTTTACTTTTTTAATAATACCTGCAATTTTTAAAGAATTTGAAAAATGTGAAAGGAATTAAAATGTACTACAAATCTAATTATCCAGAAATAACTATCATAAGTTATAAAATGTGTCATCTTTCTATTCCTATGTTACAAATAGAAGCATGTATGAATGCTTAACTGAGTGAAAGAAATAGCTATACAAAACCAAAATAGTACTCTGAAGCTAATACGGAAGTATTTTATTTCATTTAAATAGGAAAAAAAGAAAGTGGGGGCACCTGGGTGGCTCAGTGGGTTAAGCCTCTGCCTTCAGCTCAGGTCATGATCTCGGGGTCCTGGGATCGTGCGGTCTCCCTGCTCTGTAGGGAGACTGCTTCCCCCTCTCTCTCTCTCTGCCTGTCTCTCTGCCTACTTGTGATCTCTGTCTGTCAAATAAATAAATAAAAATCTTTAAAAAAAAAGAAAGCAAATGTGAGATTATATTATAAGATATGTGCTAAACAGATCTCTCTCAAGTTTAAAAATAAGGAAAATTATTAATAAGTTAGTCTTTTTTTTAAATGATTTTATTTATTTATTTGACAGAGAGAGACACAGCAAGAGAGGGAACATAAGAAGGGGGGTGGGAGAAGGAGAAGCAGGCTCCCCACTGAGCGAGGAGCCTGATGCGGGGCTCAATCGTAGGACCCCAGGATCATGACCTGAGCAGATGGCAGACGCTTAATGACTGAGGCACCCAGGCACCCCGTTAGTCGTATTTTTTGCTATCTTTTTAAACTTCGGAGTTGGTCAAACTTCTGCTATGAAAGTTAACAATATTAGCACCACTGTATAACCTATCCTCTTCATACCATCAAATGTCTGATTATTATATAATTAAAAAAACAATACCCTAATTGAACCATATCTAGTCTTCAGACTGAACTTATTTCAGAAACCACTGCAGAGCTGTAGAAAGAAAAATAAAGTAAGCCCAGACTGTATCAGACCTGGATGGACTTGAATAGAGAAAAATGGAGAAATAAAAAAAATAAAGACAATTTATAATCTTTGTTGGAATGCCTTGCTTTTCCCTCTTAGATTTTATTAAATATCCAATATTAGACTTTTTTCCCCAATATTAGACTATTTTATAAGCTCTTAATTTATAGTATTTCCTGTGTTTCATTTATTTTTAAGAATTTGATGCTTTCTTCCTCATTTTTTATACTGCATAAATACCCCAAACTGCAGTGTGTTTCAATCAATAACAAATCTGTTCCATAAATTGAGCTTCAAAATTTTCTTCTTTGATTGCTGAAATGAATCTGTGTTTCCTCACTGTATATGAGGTATTTGGTATGTGGATGTCTTAAGTGGGCTAGTAAGTTCTTCTGCCTGTGACAGTGTTACCATTTTCTTTCAGGAAACCCTGATAGATTGGTGTGATGAAAAGGAACTTAACTTGATATTAACAACTGGAGGAACAGGGTTTGCACCACGAGATGTCACTCCAGAGGTGAGATAGTATGTGCTTTTCTCATATTCAAGAAGTAGGCTATTCATATTATCATTCATCTTTTTCACTGTGTTTTATATTATTTTTATAATTTTGCAAGGCAGAACAAGAGACTTGCGGTTTTAAGAATGTAAAAACTTTGCTGTAGAAGAATTGTTGTATAAAAAATGTTTCTTGACTTCTTTTCTTTGGATTTATACAAACATGATATAAAATGAGGAAGATTGAACTAGTCCAGAAGATAATTTTGCTTTTGTTTAGTGGTCTGTGATACAAGTTGAACTTCAGGTGTATTGCCAAAGGAGGTGATAGCAGAACTCTAACTCTTAGCATTGCTTCTGGTCTGATGTACTTTGTTAATGTAATTCAAAATTATCTGATTTCTCTGTTCTTGAGATACCCTTGTCATTGGTCTTAAAGCACAGGAAATTACAATAGAATATATATACCATATTTATAGTACTTTTGAAGAGAAAGGATTCCATAGTTCGTAATTCTAATGTGAATTTAAATGCAGAATTTAATAAGCCAAAATGCAGAATTAATATCTAGGCTTTATGCCACAAGAATCTTACCTTAAACCTTTGCATGAGGAGAAAAGTTAGGGAGAGAATTAAGAGTAGGCAGTGATCAGTGATACGGGGAAAAGAGTCTTTTTTTTTTTTGAAGGAAGCCATAAACCTCAGAATCATATGCAAACTTACCTTACCACTTGTCATATTGTTTTCTTTACCTCCCAAAAAAGTGTTTGCTGGCTGAATTTCAACTTAATATTCAATATGTCCTTCTATTTTCAAACCAATACATGATTGTATGTACTGTTTGATTAATACAAGACATTTCTGCTCTGCATCTATTAAGTATTTACTCTCCATCTTACTCTATCATAGTAGTTTTCAAACTTTGGCCTGCCCCACAATCAAACTAAGGGCTTGTTAAAACAGATTGTTGGGCACACCCACAGAGTTTCTGATTCAGTAAATCTGCAGTGGGTCCTAAGCATTTGTATTTCAGACAAGGCCCCAGTTGATGCAGATGTTGTTGGCCCATAGACCATACTTTCAAACTTTAAAAACCACAGTTCTAGTATATGAAAATGGAAATTTTTTTAACAAATTGTAAAATACTTTCTGTTTTTCTATGTAAAAATTGTGACAGAATTTTTTGGGATATTTTTATGATTAGATTTATAATGTGGTTTGTTTTTAAAGCAATCAGAATAGAGTTGTAGTGTTTTCATGACTTTAAAAAAGAAGTCATTCTTACATAATAAGCTTCTGGGTGTTAAGGGGAAATGGTCCTTTGGCCAGTTTTTACATTTCTTTTAGACTTTGAGACTAACTTAAAAAGTACAATTGGAGGGAAGCCATCTCCTGTAGAGAGAGGTGTGTTTGTGTTTTGTTTGTAAGAAAATTGCTTACATATGTGAAGAATTTTTGGAGTCTGGTCGTTCTGTTAAGTATTTGAAGTAAATGACCTTGGCTTTATATTCCCTGTTTTTTCTGTGATGATTTAATAATATTGTGTCATTTCTTTTTATATCAGAAAGTAAGTTACTATGGAATTCATTTATAACCAGATAACATTATTTTAATTGGGGGAGAATAATTCCCACACAGAGTTAAGTATTTTGTATTCTGTGTTGTGTCAAGTTATTATCAAAATGCTAGACTGAAAATATAAACCTTTGAATTTTGGCTCTGCTACTTATTAATAGGGTGACCATAGACTAACTATTAAACCCCTCTGTGCCTCAGTTTCCTATGAAATGAGGCAAACAAAAGTACCTATGTACAAGGGTAGCTGTGGGATTCAATGAGAACTATTTCTGGCATGTAGTAAATGCTATTATATGCAAGGGTTAACTTAGTAAGGGTTAATTCTTTTTATGTGTTGCTACATAAATACTAAGTGAACAAATTGGTTAGTTGGTTTTGTTTTTTGTTTTTTTGGTTTTTTGGGGGCACATAACTACCAAATAGAGAAAAACAGTCTTATCGTAGATTTAAAGTATATCCATGAAATCTTTATGATCTTGTTATTTTAAAATTTTGATGTAGTAAGTTTCATATTTTATCTTTTTTCATCTTATTGTAAATCAGAGGTCTTAAATTTCTACCATTCTAATATGTGTTTATCCCATCCACTTTTTTTTAAGTACTGTTAATTGATAAGAGTCTCTTTCCCTGACCATGTATGTTTCATTATATCAGAAATTAAGAAGCCCTTTATTCTTAAATAAATGAAGTCTCAGTTACCTTAAAACCTTACAGGTGCTCTTAAATTCTTACTTTTTTTTTTTTTTCTAGATCACATAATTTTTTTTTTTATTAGCACCATGACTATATCTCGTAAAAGTTATATTCTAGGCATGTTTTCAGTCCTAAATCAGTTTATGTCCACTTCTTCTTTTTTTTTTTAATGTATTTATTTATTTTTTAAAATAAACATATAATGTATTTTTATCCCCAGGGGTACAGGTTAAATTCTTACATTTAAAATGCCTATAGCAACTACCTACGTAGAGTTGTATTTGAGTGTTTTCTTTAAATAAGTTTAAAATATGCATAAATAGGTCTTTCTTAATCTTTTTTTTTTTTTTTTTTTTCAGATTGGGTGACTTACCAATTGTAAATATCTTGATTTTTAATGGGTTTGCTTTATTTCATATTTTATATATAAATACATAGGGTGTGACTATCTACAGCAGAAGTCCATAGAACTGTTAAGCATTTGAAAAATAAACAAACATAAAAGCAATGTAAGTCCAACCAAAAATACTGATTTCGTATCTTCACTATACATTTAAATGCTTGTCATTCTTCTAATATCCAAATTATAACACTGGATGCATGCTAGGAACTCTGAAATGTAATTTGGGTTCTGTGATAATACAGTTAGTTGTCTTTAACTTGTTTGTCTTAGATAATTGTGCCTAAAAAGAGAAGAAACCATTTCTAGACTACATTTAACTATAGATAACTTAGATTTACAAAAATTTTTAAGTATTCAAGTTATAGAAAACACATATTAAATATTAAGGTAAAATAATAAAAAACTTCTCCACTAAGGTACAAATATTTTACAGTCAATAATTGACAGTGAATAGTCTAATCTACAAATACAAAGGACAATTGTTTGTGGAATGTGTGTGTTGTTAGGAAGAAAATGGGGGAAACAAATAGAATAAATGAAATAAAGCAATCTAAACTTGTCAGTGGGTATGAACCCTAAAGAGATTGAAAAGTTTAATAAACTTGGGTTTCTTTCCAGGTCTATTAAAAAGGAAAATGGAATAGCAAAATCAGTAAAGTATATCTTTTTTCCTTTTTTTCTTTTTAATAGAAATAAGGCAATCGGAATCCATTTCCCTAAATTATGAAATTGTTTCTGTTTTTGGGCCCTGTGTCATAGAATATGGTTCATCTGATATTTGCATGCTTGCTGGCCTGCTCCCTGCCTCTAAAATGAAATACTAGCAAAACTTATTTTAGAGTTTATTTTAACATAAAAATCTTTATTTTTTAAAGAATAGATTTTATTCTTTCTCCACCATCTTGGGACCTGTGGAGGCTGGCTGGCAACGGGACTCCTAAAATGCCAAATAATGTCTGGAAGATTGTGATCCAGGGCCATTTTTGCTGACTATAAGCGGGGTCTCCGTAACCAGAGGGAGCACACAGCTCTTCTTAAAATCTAAGGTGTATATGCTCGAGGTGAAACGGAATTCTGTCTAGGCAAGAGATGTGCTTATGTGTACAAAGCAAAGAACAACACAGTGATTCCTGATGGCAAACCAAACAAACCAGAGTAATCTGGGGAAAAGTAACTCGTGCTCACGGGAACAGCGGCATGGTTTCTGCCAAATTCCGAAGCAACCTTCCTGCTAAAGCCATTGGGCACAGAATCCATGTGATTCTGTACCCCTCAAGGATTTAAATTTAATGAAAAGTTAATAAATAAAGGTATAGAAAAAAATGGATTTTATTTTCAGGGCTCCTGGCTGGCTTAGTTGGAGTAGCATTTGTTTGACTCTTGATCAGCAGCTCATGAGTTTGAGCCCCTCATTGGGCATAGAGATTACTTAAAATAAATAAATAGTTTTTTTTTTTTAAAGAGTAGATTTTAGTTTCTGTTACCAGACAAAGGTTGAATAATCTCTTGGCATTGGTGAAATGCTAGTAATTGTAAAATTCTATAGAATATAAGAATTCATTGCTATATAAAGTATTACCTCTTTGTATCTCATTATTAGTTAAAAACAATATATGCCCAAAATAGGTATTGTTACATCAAGAATCTTATTATTCTTAAAAAGTAAAATTAGGGACTTATAAGTGAGACGAAGTGAAAACCCTTTAGACATAAATTCTAGAAGAGACTAAAAGATCAAGAAGCTTTAAAAAATGTGTATATCATTACAAAGAAATGTTTTATAATATGTTATGGTAAATTTGAAAATATTAAACTATTTTATATTTATAAGGTAAAAATAACTTTAAGCATTTTTAGATTTTTATGCTACATCAGAATAAAGGGTTGGGTACTAATATTTTATCTTGATCAAAAATTAAAGAGTTAAATAGAAGCCCAACATACATCTTAATTCTCATCCATTCATTCATTCATCAAGCTTTTTATTTTTAATCCTTGATATGTATCCAATGCCATACTGGGTACTGGAGTTTTAAAAAATTAATAAGACATTGTCTCTATTCTCAAGAAACTCTTAATTTGTTTTGGGAGTTCATAAAAGTCCTATAGACCAAATCCAGCCTGTCTTTTTGTTGGTGTTGGTGTTGATGTAGCTTATGAGCTAAGAATGGATTTTGTATTTTTTTAAGTGGCTGAAAAAAATCAAAAGGAGAATAATACTTTGTGGCACATAAAAATTGTTTGAAGTTTAAATTTCAGTCTCCCTAAATGAAATTTTATTGGAACACAGCTACAGTCATTCATGTATGTAATACCTGTGGCTACAACAGCAGAGTTAAAGAGTT